AAAGAGAAGGGTAAAAAGGGCGGCGGGAAAGGCGATCCCCCGCGTGGGCCGCAAACCCACACACAGTCGGACCCTGCAAGCACCGCGCATGCAGAGGTCCGGCACGATCTCATCGCCATGGAGCAAAATCCAAACCACCCTTCGACTTTGACGGATGCCTACCTGTCGCAGATCATCGCCGGCCACAAACGTCATGGCGAGGTGGCGTTCAAGGCGTGGCTCCAGCCTGGTGGCAGACACGCAGGCGGCCCACCAGTGCGAGTATCTTTCAGAGCTTGGGCGGCCAACTCGTGGGAAAAGGTGCCCAACGAGCTCCAGAGATACAAGAAGCATGTGGCGATTCAATGGACGTCAGACGGCGCGTGGGAATGGCGCGAAAACGACGAGCCTACCCACAGCTGGACGTACTTTGGGGACCGATGGGACCAGCGCCCACGGCACATGCTGGTGTTCATGGTCCCGCCACGTGGTGGAAGCGCCTTCTACGTTGGTGGCCAGCTTCCGGATCTCTACGCAAGCGACTTGAAGGTGATGAAGAAAGAGACCGGAAAGATGTTTGAGGATTCCTCCAGGAACCTCAACACGCACGACGACCTGCTGATGCAGGCTTTGGGACTACCGTCAGTGACGATCACGGGCGATCCGCCCACGATCTTTGTCCTGGCAAACTCGGAGTTCCAGCCCGGATCCCTTGAAAGGACCGGCGCCCGTGTGATCGTGCGACACCCTGGGTACAGGATGATCCTCTTGGAGGACATCGGATGGCAGAAGCAAATCTCTAAGGAGATTGCAAAGATCCGTCCCGACCTCCTGCTTTTGGTGTACAGCTTGGAAGACCAGGTAGGCCTTAGCACGCCGGCACAGACCTGGCTCCAGTCTCTTTCCGCGTACACAAAAGAAGTGCTTGTTCTCGACAGTTTGGGGAGTGTTAGGTGGAACTTGTGGTTTGAGAACAGTGTGGAGGGAACTGAGAGAGAGTTTCAGCTGTTTCAGTGCAGGGGTGACCTGTGTGTAGGGACGTTTTCGCAGGCAATAGGTGAGGTCATGACAAGTTGGGCAAACAGTGACCATGACATTCACTATTCACCTGTGAGCATCGACACAGTAGGCACACATGTAGGTTTTGCCGAAACCTTGATACTTGTGTTGCAGGAAGGCTGTGTAGAGGACCATGTTGCTGAAGCATTTCCTGTTGAGGCAAGGCAGGATGAAGTCGAGCAATCTGGTACTCTAGATGCTATTGTGGATCCCAGAGATAACAGGACCACATTCATGGATGAGTCGGAAATCGCCGAAGAAGCAGACATCTTAGACACGTTGCCTTTAGCAGGGTTTCCCAAAGAAGAGTCCGAGAGGAGAAAGGCATGGTCTAAGGTGCCGAGGCGTGTTCGCTTGGGGATCAGGAGGTTGCACACCATGATGAACCACAAACCTAAAGAAGTACTGGTTCAAGTGCTTCGAGGGGCAGGTGCTTCTGAGGAACTGGTGAACGCAGCTAAGATCTTCAAGTGTGAGTCCTGCAGGGTTAGCGAAGAAAATGTTCGCACACACCCTGTGTCAGCCCCACCACCTTACGAGTTCAACCACACAGTTTCCATAGACGTGCTGGAGACTGCGGATGCAACAGGAGCAAGGTTTAGCTGGCTGAACATTATAGATGTCGGCACAAGCTATCAAGTTGTGACCTTGGTCCGCGTTGGAGGCGGACAGCCGAGCTCAGCAAAGTGTTTGCAGAAGTTTATGCAGCACTGGGTTTCCCCTTTTGGGTGGCCCAAGATAGTCTCCCACGACAGGGGGCTACACAACAGAGGTGCGTTCGCGCACGGGCTGAGCAGCCACGGAGTCCAGATCCGCCAAGCCGGACTGGAATCACCAGAGCACATTGGGAAGTGCGAAAGACATGGAGGCATCATAAAACGAGCCTTTAAACGTTTGGTCAAGGATCACAGCGTTGCAGGCAAAGATGATGTCAAAGTGGCGATGCTTGAGGCACAGGTGGCAAAGAACGAGTTCATGCGTGTCGGAGGTTTTAGCCCCACTCAGTGGGTGCTTGGACGCCTACCCAGAGGAGTAGGACACGTTTTGGACGAGGAAGAGCTAGGTCAGCTTGGGGTTCTTTCTGGAAGGCTAGATGCCACTACAGCGTTCGGTCGACAGGCCGAGTTCAGGCACACAGCCAGGAAGGCCTTCGTGCACGAAGACTGCAGCCGCCGAGTCAGGAAGACTGTCCTGAGGAAGTCGGCGCCTCTTCCAGGAAGGTACCAGGCGGGAGACCTGGTATGTTACAGGATCTCGAGGAATGAACACTCAGGTGTCTCCACCTGGAGCACGGTGAGCAAGATCATCGGATTTGACAACAAGACTGTTTGGGTCGTTCACCAAGGAGTTCCTGTAGCTACAAGTTTGGCTCGACTCAGACCGTGTACTTCGGCTGAGGTCCTGGCGTTTCAGGTACTTAACCGGGGCAACATACAGTACGAGCACACGGAAGTTGAGCGTGAGCAGCAAAAGTACATTGATGCCACCGGGGACGATCTAGTACGAGACGACCCAGAAGAGCCACCGGACGGAGGAGTAGGAATAAGTTCTCCGATCCGAATGGATGCAGAGGCAGATCCCCCAGAAACCGAGACGGTTGCGCCAGAACGAGTCGTTAGAAGGAGAGTTGGAGCGACACGTGAAGAGTCACGGGCCGTGACCATGGAAGAGCCAGAAAATGAGCAGGTGGATCCTACAAGAGGAATCCAAGAGCCGATGGCTGAGGACACGGCAGTTGATGCCGATGTCGAAGCAGAAGCCACGGAGAGCTCAGCACTTCTCCTGAGAGCTTACGCGAGCCACTTCTGGACGAAGGAAGAGAAGACCGTTTGGAAGTCACTCCCCGGGGAGAAGGAGTACGAGGCCTTACGGGTTTTCTTTTCGGACCGTGTTGAAGCCGACAAACAGGTTTTGCAGTGGCGCAAGCGCCGCAAGAACTTTACGTCCAAGAAGCAAAAGGAGAAGCACGGGAAGATCCTAATGTACCACAAGTGCCCTGAGGACGTTCAAAAGGAGCTGGACAAGAGCAGAGCGAAGGAATGGGCAAAGTGGCAGGACTTCAGTGCGGCGATCATTTTAGATGACGCTCAGTATGACGAGTTGATCCGTGAAGGACATCAAGTCATACCTACCCAGTGGGTAGAGTTGGACAAGAACCACAACAAGAGGTTACTTGATCCTACGGTAGAACCCAACTACAAGAGTAGATTGGTAGTTCGGGGTGATCTTGAGAAGGGAGATCCTAGGAGTGATAGCCCTACTGCTAGCATAGAAGCTCAGAACTTAGTGTTTTCTTTTGCGGCTTCTAGGAAGGTCAAGATTAAATCCCTTGACGTGACAAACGCCTACTTTCAAGGCGAAGAGATAGATAGAGTACTTCTACTATCTCAGCCTAAGGGAGGACTCCCTGGGCTCAAGCCCCACCAGCATATGCTGGCGAGAGCACCCATCTACGGCAGCACCGACGGCGGTAGAAAGTTTTGGAAAAGGCTAAGGAACTACCTTAAGGGTAAGGGACTACGTGAGAACCACATCTACCGCGCTCTGTACAGTTACACAGATGCCGATGGAGTTGTACAGTTGCTCTTGACGTCCCATGTGGACGATCTACTATGGGCTTGTGATCCGTCATGTGATTGGATCATGAACGATCTCATTGAGACGTTCAAGTGTGGAAAGGTTGAAACCGGGAGCTTCAGGTACTGCGGGAAGGAGATAGCTCAAGACGAGGACTTTAATATTCATGTGACCTGCAGCGAGACTACAAGGAACGTGAGCAAGATTCACGTGGACAAGAGGAGGCACCCGGGAGATCCTTTAACGGACTCTGACAAGACGCAGATGAAGAGCGTCGCTGGTTCCCTGGCTTGGGTTTGCAGGCAATGCAGACCGGACCTGAGCTATAGGGTATCCAAGATCCAGTCAGCTTCTAGCAACGGTACCGTCGCGGACATCAAGGATGCCAACAAAGCGGTCGAGTATGCTATTAGCACGTACGACAGGGGACTTGTTTTCAAGTCTGGTCTGTTAGACTGGAAGACGCCAGGTGCTCTGATGAGTCTGGTGATCACAGACGCTTCGCACGCAAATGAGTCAGAGGAGATGATCATAAATGAAATGACATCTGTGGAAGGACATCGGAGCCAAGGAGCTAGGATGGTGTTTCTTACTGACGGCGCCCTGTGGAATGGGGACAAGGGTAGCATTCATCCCATCTTGTGGGCGAGCAACCTCGTTCGAAGGGTGTGTCGTTCCACCATTCAGGCAGAAGCCTACACACTTCAAGCAGGTGTGGAGGATGGTGACGTGCTAAGAGCAGCTGTCACTGACATCTTCGGATGCCTCGATATGAAAAGATGGGAGGCTACGTCGGCCAAGTTTGTGAAGCAGATCTGGATGACAGACTGTAAAAGTCTAGAACTGACGCTTTCGAACCCGAAGTGCAACAAGCACTCGGACAAGAGGTTGAGCATCGAGATCGCGTCTCTCAGACAGGAGCTTTGGCGCAAAGCTGGCGAAAAAGCAGGTGATCCGTTTTACGACGACTACAAGCCAGCAGATGATCAGTTAACTGACATCGTCAGATGGATTGACACTGACGTGATGATCGCTGATCCATTGACTAAAGTCATGGAGCCTACCAAGTTGGTTGAGGCCCTGAAGACTAACACACTCGACGTAGAGCAGCCGCTCGAGAGTGTCGTAAAGAAGCGAGCCAAGCAGATTCAGAGGCGGTCGACGAAGAAGGAAAAGGACAGCGAGCAAGGCCGCTGATCCTACAGCACGAAGTCTCACCACACTGACGCTGTAAGAGTCACGGGTGTGAAACTAACCTGTTTTGCAGCGCGTACAGTGTGTGTACCTAGCGTTTTGTACAGCTTTTGATGCAACCCCTTGACCGCAGGGGCCCCTTGGACCAAGCCTACGGCTTAGCGGAAAAGTGACTAGTCTTCGCAGAGGCCATGTCAAAGGAGCGATGGGGCCAGCCACGGATTTACTGTGTGAACGAGTACGATCCGAAGGCAGAGCCCGTCAACGATCTTCCCATCCTTGCCCAGCGTCAAGGCGCCATCTCATACATCAAACATGAGGACTTTCTCGAGATGCTGGATCCGTCCTGGTATCTGAAGGACAAGTCTGTCGCCAATGTGCTTGCTGTTCTCAAACGTACCAATGTCATCTTGAACACGAAAACCTTCTTGTATGTCCGGCCTGCCGGCGAAGAGGAAGTCCCCGTTCTTCGCATTCCACTCGATGACAAAACCGACTTGCTCCACAGCGAGTCTCGTGCCATCTACGATCGTCATCGCAAGGGTGGGACCGACCTCCCCAGTGATTTCGATGAGAAGGTGGCGTGTTTCATGCTTTCTGCAAGGTGTGTGTTTGTGTGATTTTACAAAATATTGCACAACTTTTAAATCTGAGGTGTGGATACATATTTTTTATATGTTTGAAACCACATTATGAAGCCAGGTAGCATGGGAAGAGGCTTGGATGGACAAGGTCATGAAGGGAGACCTCAACAACTTGAAGTACCGAGCAACCGTCGTATCCACACCTTTGTTCATGGAGCCCTCTTCCTCGCACAGAGCACCGTCCAGCAGGGACATCAATCACACTTTGCGTCAAAGCGTGAGTGGCGTGATGAGTGGCTTTCCGGAAGTAGCCTCTGCGAGTGCACGGCCTCCGCATCCACGAACACATGCCTCAAGTCCGGCCCCCTCATCTCGTACTCTGGCAACAACCAAGGCCTCGAGTCCGGTATCTCCTTTGCCCAAGAAGGTCAAAGTCGAACCCGGTGTCTTCCCGAAACTGTCAGCCATGTCTGGGGTCACAGTGAAGATTGACTCGTCGTCGGATGAGGAAGCACCGAATCTTACACAAGATCTGGAGCAGCTCATGGAAGAAACAGGAGACCAGGAAGATGAGACATGTGCTGGAGACCTAGATTTCCATGAGAAGGCAAACCAGGCAGCTGAGGAGTACGCTCACTTCATGCAGGATGCCGAGCATGCTCCCGAGCAGGGCCCGGTTTTGGACGAGAAGGATCAGGAGGAGGAGGATGGAATGGACATCGCAGAGGAGGCGGAGTGAGCCCAGTAAGACAACATAGATCTCAATTTTGAAATGGCATGAGATCTGCATCATGACAAGGATGCCGCCATTGAGGTAGGCACCGTCCAGACAAAACTTTTGTTGGACACATGGCTCAATAAGTAAGTTCTACGACCTACATGTCTTCATATTACAAGTAAAAAAAGTAGTGCAATTCTGGCAAGTGTCCGGCATGCACAAAGCCCTTCTCGTCTTGGCACACTTCATGAAGTCAAACACAGCTAGAGGGTCGGCGTCGTAACTCCTGAAGAGAAAGGGCGCAGAAAAAAGGATCGATGCTCTCAACTTCAACACCAGTCTGTGCCATTCCACTCACTGCCCACACACACACACGTGCCATGTACTGAAGTAGTATTTTTGTTCAAAGGCAGTTTTTGTATCTGTGCTGCCAGTCAACCAATGCCGAAGAGATTGAAGAAGCAATCCAACTCTCACCAGTTTTGGCCTGCACCGAAGCGAGGCAAAGCTCGGGCAGTAGCGAAGCGACCGTCCAAGAAGGTGAAGTCCACAAAGTTCATGAAGGTTCCCTACGTTCGTCATGGCACTCCAACCAAGGTAAGTCGTCCATGCAGAGAAAGGTGGGGCCGTTCTATCCAAAAGTTCACAGCCATGCGGTATCCAGCACTCACGCGTCTTCTCCAGCAAGATGGCATTCTACCAAACTGGACTGGGCAGCTATGTCCTCATTGCGGTAGTGGCAAGCTAGCCAAAGTCAAGTACTTTGCCGGGAGGAAAGCTTGGGCCCATAGGTGCCGGGCAAAGGCTTGTCATCAGTATGTTCAACCACACGACTTCCATCCAGTCTTCATCAAGGGTGCAGGCAACAGCAAGACGTCTCTCCAGCTCCAAGCCTCGGTCTTGCTGTGTGCTACAGCTGGCGTTCCACAGCATTGCGTGTCCAAGATCATGGATGTAGATGACAAAGTGGTGAGTAGGCTCTACAACAACCTTGACGCGGCTCGGTCTCGCTTTGTCGTCGCTCATGAGAAGCACATCCGATATGGGGATAGCAAACAGTGGGTCGATGTCGAGGCGGATGAGGTAGATCTGGGAAAGGGCATCATCGAGAATGAGGACAAGCCGAAACTCAACACCAAGTGGGAGCAGTGGCTCGGTCTAGTACAACGCGGCTCCCCGAAAAGTCTCCGACTCATTCGTCTTGATCCACCTCCCACAAAGGCGAGGTCGCCCGGACCAGGGCCAATTCGCAAGCGGGACTGGAAGCCAATTGGGAAACAGTTCCTCGAGGGCCGCCGCATCGTTTTACACACTGATGGTGCTAGAGCATACAAACTAAAACTCAACTTGGTCGAGCACTGCAATGTGGTGCACAAGAAGAAGAAAGTGAAAGTCGGAAAGAAAGCAGCTTGACTCGGAAGAGTGTTCGCTGACGATATACATAAGCTTAATATCCTAAACCCGCCCGACAATATTACTAGACGCGAGTTAGTCAACATAGAAATATTGTTTTGTAGTAGGACAATATGACAATGTGACAGCTCAGGTGGTGTGGAAGAAACCTCACTTCACCAAAGTGTATCGTTTGAGCCTTCCTGGCGGGAAGACACTCCGCGTCAAAAGCGGCACCCAAGTGATCGACCGATGCTGGCAGCACCTCCGGACACACTTGAAGTACACGAAGCGATCTCCAGGCAACGAAGTCATGACAAGGAAAATTCGTAGTGCTCAGTGGCTGTACTGGCAGAAGGGCCGAAGCCTGTGGACAGCAACAGGCGAGCTCATGAGGTTTCTCTGCCATTCTCTAAAAAAGATGGTTTTTTTGGTTTTTTGGTTTTGCCTCGTAAAAGATGGTTTTGCATAGAAAAACCAACTTTTCCCTCGTAAGAAGATGGTTTTCCTGAGGCAGACCAAGCCAAAACCATCTTTTTACGAGGGAAAAGTTGGTTTTTCTATGAAAAACCATCTTTTTACGAGGCAAAACCAAAAAAACCATCTTTTTGAACCCCCCCCCCCATTCTTTAAAAAAGATGGTTTTTTTGGTTTTTTGGTTTTGCCCGTGTCGGCGTCCAATCCTGTGGTCTGTGTGGGGTCTGTTTTGTCAAGAGACATCCACTGACAGTAGCAAAAAAAAAGGTCCGTGTGGGGTCTGTTTTGTCGAGATACAGCCACTGAGAGTAGCAAAAAACGGCTTAGGGCACGATCGGGTTTTAAACGGTATTTACGAGGGAAACAGATCGGGGTGGGTCATGGGGGGGGGTGTGTCCATATATATGTACATGTACGTCGGCTATTGAGTTCCTAAGCAGGGGCCTTGATAGCAGAGGACCGCCCCTGCCAGTTTTGAAGCTCTCCCCCAAGCTGAGGACCGGCAAAGCCGTCCAAGTGAACGAGTTGGAGGATGAGGAGTTCAACCAAGGCCCTAAACCCTAAACCCTAAACCCCTAGGGGCCCATTTTTCTCGAGGCGCTCAGTCTAAAAACCTTCAGAAGGTAGACACGGATGTCATTTGAGGGTTTAGGGGACTGTGGAGCTCCTTGCGTACTTCGAGGGACTTGGGGGTTTTTGAGTTTTCTTGACTTGGTGCTTCCGAAGCCGGCGGGGCTGCAATGCCGTCATGGAGATTCAGGGAGTGGTTTGGGGGTGTTAGGGTCGCCCAAGGATTCCCTTAAGATCTTCAGCCCTGGGTCGAGTTGTGCCAAGAACACCTCGAATTCAATGCGCTCTTCTCGCTGTCGCCTTAAAGGTGCCGTGGCCTTCAGCCTTTCCGCTCGTTTCATTGGTCAACGTACGTTGTGCCGTGCAGCGACATCTCGCCAGAGCTCGGGGACGCTGCGAGTTCCACCTGTGCTGCAAGAGCCTTTCCAAGCCTGCAACCTTTGCGGCCACCACTGCAGCCAGCACCCTGAGGAGTCGATCCCTGAACCTGAAACTCTCAACCCTAAACCAGGCTCGCGTCATCTCACGCCTTAGCACCTGACTCGCAGGACTCTATTTTGGAGCTTTTTGTAAAGAATTGCCCAAAAAGCCGTGTTTAAGACGGCCCAAGACAGGAGAGAAGCGCAACCAAAACCGTAGTTGATCCGGAGCCAGGGAGGTCCAAGGGAGTGGCAGTAGGGAAAGCTGGTGGGAGCTAGGTACCGTAATAAGCGAGTAACGATGATGACGAGGAGATTTTTCGGTTTGTTTGTTTTTACCTGTCCTGATTTTGTCAAGCAACAATAGGTCGCGCACCAGTCCATAAGCTCCACCCTCAACCAACGCTCCCTCGCACGAAAGTCGCTGCCAGGGTGACAAGTTTCCTGCTTTGGGCACTGAGTCTTTAAGTAACCCATTGTGCCCCAAAGCCGCCGCCCATCCATCCCGGAAGCCCAGTCAGTCAGTTCAGGAAAGCCCTAAAAGCACTCGACTTGGAGGTTCATGGTACTTATTAAGCATTTATAACTGTACTTACAACTGTACTTATAACCATATTAGAGCACTTAGGGGGCTTATAAGTGGGTTATAAGTACAGTTAGAGTTCTTCATAAGTACCACGAACCGCCAAGTACTTCCTTATGTCTGCATGGGGGCTTTTCTCGGCAGGCATGGACAACGACAAGTTCGAATACGACCCCTCCCTGATCCTTGGAGCTTTGTGAGCTGGGTTTAGGGTTTAGGGTTTGGGGTTTAGGGTTTAGGGTTTGGGGTTTGGGGTTTCGGGTTTAGGGTTTAGGGTAACCCGGGTTTTGAAGTGTTGGGCGTGGCAGGTTTGGGGGGTCTGAGGGCTGTCGCAAAACCGAGGGTGCTTCCGTGACTTGAACCCTTTACCACATAGACCGCCTAAAGCCCAGATCGAGAGCGTTCAGGCAAGTTTGGGTTCACCAGCGAGAGGTGCCCTGACCTTAAGAACCCATGACCCCCAACTTGTTGAGAATCCCTAACCCCCCCCAAATTGAACCCTAAAACTAAAACACCGGGATTGTGGGTACAGAGCTTCATGGCTACTAAACCCTGCTTGGACGTTCATGGGTCGTTATAAGTACCTAGGGTACATTTGACCCCACACTCATAGCTACCCATGACCCTCCAAGTAGCCCCCTGAACCAGGAACGCCTTTGATCGTGGCTGGGTGTCCAATTGCATCAACTTCTGGTGTGTTCTGCCCTCAGATGCCCTCAGATGCCATGCCTCCTTTGAATAAAGAAGAGTGCCTTAAGTAAAGAACGGCCCTTACTTGAAGGGATAGTTCCTTAAGTTAGGGGGACATGGGATCTGAGAGCTGGTTTAATTTCTGAGGTTTGGTTGGTTTCAGGAGCTTGGTTCGAGGGCTCATGGGCGTAAGGGTCGGACTGATCCCGAGATGTTCTGGTGGTATGGCGGTACAGCGGTGGGAAGTGTAGGAGGCTTCTTTTTTCAGCTTCAATGATTCAATGCAGCTTTTCCGGGGGCCTGGCTCAACCATATTCTTCATAGTCCTAGATCCCGAAAGCTCAAGTCGTCAAAACCACCTGTAGCCTGAGGTGCCGCGATGGCCTTCGAACCAACTGGGCGAGTTCTGAAAACGGGGCTTGGAGCCTGGGTGGTGCAGATGTAAAGTAGGGGGTTACCGGAAAATTCGGGGTTCAAGGCCCTACACACTCTGAGCTCTGAACGCAAAAGGCCCTTGGCCGCAGTCTCAGAGCTCTCCGCTTCAGGGGTCGGCGCCGATCTCCGTAGATTGATTCGGACCGCTTTGCTGCGCAAAACAGCCTCGCGCGATCACGAAAGCTCTCTTCCGGTTGCAGATTTCAAGGTGACGCCTGACGGTCTCAGACGGTGTCCGGAGATGAATGTCAAGGGGTTTAGGGTTTAGGCTTAAGGGTTTAGGGTTTAGGGGGCCCTAAACGGAGTGTGAAACTTGATTGATGCAGTAACCCCCGCCTTGCTTCAGCCGTGGCTCCTAGGATGTCCGCCCGTATCAACATGCGGGGGAAGACATTTTCAGTACCCAAGAACGCCTACACCCATCAGCAGAAAGGCAAGAACCTTCCGCAAGGACCTTACGAACTGCACAAGCGACCCGTGCTGTTTGGAGCCTCTCCGGGTTGCTCTGCAACCCGTTACTCAGCCTAAGGGGTTTGTTTAGGGGGGTGCTTAAAGGTACTTACTTTGGAGGCCTTTAAATATAAGGGGTGCTTTTAAGGGCCTCCTGTAACGGGGTGTCTCGCAATTTCTAGGGGCTTCGAAGGAGCCTGAAGAAGGCTTCAAGAGGCCATGGCTGGCCAGGGCCGCCTCCAAGGGCGCCGGGGCGGGACGCTGCTGGGTCTTGGGCCCAGGCTTGGGTTGAAGGTCTTGGAGGTTCAGGGGGGTACTTGTTAATGATAACTCTACTTCTAACCCACTTATAAGCCCCTGAAGGGGGCCTAAGATGGAAATAATTGGGCTATAGGTGCAGTTCTTATTGGGTTAATAAGTACCATGAACCTCCAAGCTTGGGTTTGGGGAAGGTTCGTGGCTTTGGCCTGGTCAAAGCCGCGACATCGAAAAGCCTGAATCAGCTCCTCATGAAATCTTGAAAGCTGCCTTTAAGCCCCCAAGCTCCAAACCCTAAACCCTCCTCACTAGAACGCCCCGAACCTTTCAATCAATTGAATCCTCAACCCTGAGCCTTCCTCCAACCCTTGTGCACTTCATCCGGCAGCCCAGGCTGTTCTCTGATCGCGCTCCTGGTCACCGTGGCGGCCTGGCTCTTCTCGGCACACGGAGGCCTCCGGGTTTGGGGTTTAGGTTTTTTAGGGTTAGGGTTTAGGTTTTTTAGGGTTAGGGTTTAAGGGTTAGGGCTAGGGTTTAGGGTTTAGGGTTTAGGGTTGGGGGGTTCTCAGGGTGCCCCGGGTGTCGGGTCCATGTGCCCATTGCAGGCGAAGCCGAAAGCTTTGTCCGGGGCCCTGTAGAGCTGGGCGCGGAGCATCCTGACGGCACTGGTGTCCTCAACGGCATTGCTAGCATGCCCTACCGACTTTCCAAGCCCTAAAGCCCCAAAGCCCCAAAGCCCCAAAGCCCCAAAGCCCTAAAGCCCTAAAGCCCTAAAGCCCTAAAACCCTAAAACCCTAAAACCCTAAAACCCTAAACCCTCAACCCTAAAACCCTAAACCCTAAACCTCCCTCTACGCCATCTTGCAGAGCTTCGAAGCTTGGAAGCCTCCTCCTCGACCCGGAGGGGGGGGGGGTGGGCCGCCAACTCGAAGGCTGAGGCTCTGACTCCGTCCTGCTCTCACATCCCCAAGGGGTCTAGGGTTCAGGGTTCAGGGTTTAGGGTTTAGGGTTTTAGGGTTCAGGGCTTTAGGGTTTTAGGGTTTAGGGTTCAGGGTTTAGGGTTTAGTGTTGAGGGCCCCAGACCCGAGGCCTTAAGACTCAGAAGCCCACAGCGTCTCAGGAAGCGCCCGGCAGCTGAGACTTTGCACCCCTGCCTCGCGCACGTCCAAGCCCATACCCTAAACCCTGAACCCTAGACCCCAAAACTCTAGTCCCTAGGGTTTCGTATGGTTAGGGTTGAGGGTTTAACCCTCAACCCTAACCATACGAAACCCTGAGCTCTCAACGCCGCAGCCAAGGTCGCGGAGCCCGAGCCTGGGCGCCGCAGCCAGCCAGGAGGACAGCGAAGCCGCCCTGAGGCCGGCATCTTGGTCGGGGAGCTCCCGCTTTCCCGTGCTTTTGACAAATGGGGTTTAGGGTTTAGGGTTTAGGGGTTTAGGGTTTGGGGGTTTAGGGTTTCGGGTTTAGGGTGTCCCGGGGAACCCTCTGTTTTAGGGTTGCGGTTCGACTGGTGTGCGTGCCAATGGGTGGGGTTCATGACTTGGGGCGGGTGCCTGCGGGGTGGGAGGGGTGTGGAGGGCTAGCAAAGTACTTGTGCATTTGCTGGGGCATCATAAGGACGAGGAGCCCTGCATCCGAACTACTGACGGCCCTTGCACTCCAGGCCGAAAGAACACCAAACACAAGGCCACTATCTCGACCGCCCATCTGAATTTCAGCCCGCAACACCTGGCGGAAAGCCGACGGGAACCTTTAAGCCCTGCTTGAAGGCTCTTGTTTGGTACTTTTGCGTGGAGTAGCATCGCTGTATTCTGTCTTGACAACCCCAGTTGAGGTAGCTACAACCCCTAGTTCTGACTACCCATGAGCCTCCAACCCCAACAGCCCAAAAGCCCCGCAAGCCGCCCAAACCCAAGGGAGCGCGTGGCCCAGCTTGAGCGCAAGCTGGCCGAGAAGCTGCTGGATCCTCCCGAGGAGGAGCAGGCAGCTCCAGCTCCTGGGGCGGGTTTGGGTTTCGGGCTTTTGGGGGGGTTGCTGAAATCTCAAAAAACTGTCGTCTCTGCGCTTTGTGTGTGAGCGTTGTGTGCAATTTGAGTCCCAGAGGTCGCAGGCTCTGAGGGGCTTTAGGATGTTGAGTGCGGCTTCTCGAGTCGCAAAATCAAAGCCTTGAAGCCTGCCGCAAAACAACAGCTGGCTTCAAGGTTCAAGGGCCCCCCGTTACAAAGGCCATGTTTCAGGGGGCTATGTAGTTTGTATGCGCGGTATTTTGGGCTTTCAGGGTATCTTCTGCAGGGTCTGGATTCAAGGGTGTAGCAGGCCTGCGGGGAGTTTAGATAGATTTAGATAGGGCTTAGAGGTTTTTTGTTTGAGAGTTTAGGGTGGTAGTTTTCAGTCTTTGGAGTTGTCTCAAACTGGCTTCTCCACTAAAATCTGGTGCCTAAACTCCCCCAACCCCTAGACCCGAAATCCTTAACCCCGAAAACCCTGAGCCCCGAACCCACCCTAAACTCTGTCGGGAGTAACCTATCTATCTATCTATAGATATATATATATATATATATCGATATCGTAGAGCTTTAAACCAGATTGGTCACCCAGGCCAAGCTTAGCGCAGGTAAACGCAAATCCCTGCGCTCGCTTTGAACCCTACCTAGAGTAACGCGGTGCATTGGAATGAAGCTAGATCGTATACTATACGCGCTAGCTAAGTATATAATTTGTATAATGCAGTAAATACAAATCTTTTGACAACAAAACCTCTGAGGCCCCAGCCCATCCCAGCCCTGAAAAATTCCCCCCCCGCCCCCCCCACCCACAATACTCTAGCCCGCTATACCCTAAACTTTTAGGGGCTTCGCTCTTGTGCGCCAGACGGTGTGTAAGTAAAGGGAAAGTTTGCCCAATGACTTCAATTCAGGCCAGCAACTGAGGGCCGGCCCTTTGGGCCTTTTTGCTTTGGGGCCTCCTGGGAGGTTTTGGGCTTCGGGGCTTTTTCTTCGGGGTCCCGGGGCGCCCGCCTCCCCCGTGCTTGTTGGGGGCAGTTGACAGTAGTTGACAGCTTTTTATGAAACTTTCAGCGAATCGTTTTTGGGGAGACCCCTTGTACCCCGAAAGACCCGAAACCCCAAAACCCCAAAACCCCAAAACCCCAAATCCCCAAAACCCCAGAACCCCAGAACCCCAAAACCCCAGAACCCCAAAACCCCAGAACCCCAAAACCCCAGAACCCCAAAACCCCAAAACCCCAAAACCCCAACACCCTAAACCCTAAACCCCAAACCCCAAAACCCCAAACCCCAGAGGCCCTAAAGCCCGTGACGCCCGAAGCCGCACCGAGTGTCCCGTGCCAGGAGCTGCCACCCTCGATCCTCCAACCCCTGCGGCTTCCCTTAAGGTTTAGGGTTTAGGGTTCAGGGTTTCGGGCTCCTGCTGGGTGGTGTGTTGAGGTTTCTGGGGGCCCTTAGATGGGCCTTTAAGGGGGGCCTTGGAAGGGCCGTAGGGGGGCCGTAGCGGGCCTTGAGGGTTGCAGGGCTGTCGGGTTTGGAGTTTGTGGAGTGGGCTTTGGCCTTTGGAGCGGAGAGCCCCCCCCAACCCGCAGGCCCGCTGACGCCACGTCGTTACCTCGAGACCCACATGCCCCGATCCAGACTCCAACACACTGACCGATGCCCCAAGCCCCTCCGAACCCCAAGCCCCCAACCCCAAATCCCTAAACCTGAACCCCAAACGCCAAATCCGTAAACCCCAGATCCCCAAAGTGCACCCTAAACCCCTCCAACTGCTCCACCCTCCCGGCTTTGCAAGGATCGACCAGGCCGTTCAGGAGGTGCCAGAGTTGCAGCAGGTAGGGTCCGCCGCATTGTGGGGGTTAGGGCTGCAGCGAACACCGTACTTGAAGGTTCATGTAGTTATAGTTATAAGTAGGGTCATAAGAAGGGTAATCATACGTACAACCTTGCTTGGGGTGTACTTATAACCTTGTAACTACCCCTGACCTCAAAGGAAGGTTCAACTGTGGATAGGGTTCATACAGGGTGTCCTGAGAGGTTGGTCGTTGCAGGGTGTCTCGGCCTTATGGAGATTTATAGAGTTTCCGGCGCTTATAGGGATCATAGGCCTGAGACGCGTACAGCTTGCTATTTCTGAGTGCTTCAGGACCTCGGGGCTTAGTTCCAGGGATAAAGTGGGAGTCTCGGGTCAGGTCGAAGACGCGCGGATGGGCATGACGGAGGACAAGATGCACCCTGCCTTGGGCCCTGAACTTGCAATCCTCAAAGCCCCCAAAGCCCCCAAAGCCCCCAAAGCCCCCCTCTTTCCTGGCACTGAAGCCTGAGCCTAAGCCTTAACGGAGTGTGGAAGCCAAGGTATGTCTTCGAGATGGGAAACAAGTCCGGAAAGCAGGCCATCTACCGGCGGAAGTACGAGGCTAGGGCAAGGTGGCCAAAACAGGATTGGCTTGTGCCTGCGTGGCCTGCGGTTCGGCCCCCCAACCTCAGAGCCAACCGCAAGATTCCTTCATGGAGCTGCTATCCCGAAGCCCCTCCAAGCCCTCAACTCCCCAGACATTCCTGGAGCCACCGAAAGGTGCTTGGCATGGTGTTGACCCAGCAGGAGGCCTACACCAAGGCCGAAGCCTCCAGGGGTTTAGGGTGTATGGACTGGGGGATCTTGCCAAGGCACAGGTGGGGGAAGCTTGCCCAATCTTTGGAGGTTTGCGGGTAGTAACAAGTGGGGTTGTAAGCAGGCTAACCATCAATATAACTGGTCATACCTTGTTTTGGGTACTTCTAGACCTATTGGAATTTACCCATTCAAGTAGGGGACCTCGCAGTTCCATCCGTCCCCGCCCCCTGCGAACAAGGCTGTGCCAGGTGCCGCAGCATGAGATCTTGAGATGGACCGAAGATTCTACCTGGCAAGTCTTAGTAGTCATAGTAGGACAACCCAACTTACCAAAAGTCTTGTCGCCATCTGCATACAAGTCGGGCCGGCTTCGCTTTGTTGTGAGCCTGAATTGCGTGTTTGCTTGTTTGGAAGTGGCCACACACCGACGGCATGTCAACATGCAGGCCAGAAAACTTAATCCCTGAAACTTCGTTTTTTAATCAACATATGATGGAGGTTTCCGAAAACGAAGAGGGGGTACCCATGTAGTTAGTGGCTATAATGAAGATTATTGAATTTAGGGGTATGCGAAGGGGCGGTCTTATACTAGGAAAATACCCATGTCCAGGTGGACACAAGTCACGCGGCAATCTTTCGGGTATAGATTCTGCAAAGCCCCGGCCCCAGACAGCCTTCGAAGACACTATGAGGACTCATCGTATCAGAATGGCGTTTCATGGAGATGTTGCCCCCCCCCCCCCCTTCCATGCGAGACTTCGCCCTGAACCCCAAGCCCCTTTGAGAGAGCTCCCCGGCAGGCCGCGCGGCGCGCGGTGAAGCGAGCGAAGGATTCGCCAGCCGTCGAGGCTGGCTGTGCACACCTCGTTAGTTCAGACTAGAGCTTGGAGACCCGGAAGAGGGGCTTGAGGCAGTCAAAATTCCAAAGCCCTGAAGCCTCATGTCGAGGTCTTAGAACCCTTAGCCGCCGAAGATGCCAAGATTGCACAGATTTGCACATGATGTTTATCTCCAGAACCTGCTTTCTGTTGCCGGTGATCTTGCCGTCTCAATGTTGTTCGACAAGGAACTCTCTCTTAGTTGATGCTATGTACCCCTTCCGCTCGTCGCAATGTGCCGTAGTGAGCAGGCAAAACAGAATTCGCAAATCCATTTGTACGTTCAACAGCTCACCCGCCAAGATTTTTGGGGCCTCCCGTGAACCCTAGACCGCCTGTGAGCCCACAAGGAGCTGATGAAGTTGAAAAAAGAGGGAGGCGCAAGAAGGGGGGGGGGGGGGGGGGGTACAGGCTTTTGTGCTGGGCTTTTGGGTTGGGGGGTTCAGGGTTTGGTTTAGGCTATTGGGTTTGGGCTTAGGGGTTTAGGTTTTGGGGTTATCGTGCGGTGTTGAAGGTTTGGGTTCAGCCTTGCGAGTCCGAAGTTGTAAGCTTTCCTGTACAAATGCCTATGACAAAGCGTATAAATGCTGTACAGAACCACATATATATGTATATACGTACGTACGTATGTATGTATGTGGGTGGCTGTAAAAAAATAAGATCCCTTGGGGGGTACCCTATTTAGTAGGTGCCGTATTAAAATAGGGATCCAAAATGGGACCATAATTGAAAACGCTTGCGCGCGCCGCCTCGGCAGCCGGGCCGGCCCCAGGACAGGAAAGGAGGAAAGAGGGTTTCGCACAGAGGAAGGGCAGGGGTCAAAGGGGGGGGGTGGGGGGGGGGGGGGGGGGGGGGGGGGGGGGGGGGTGGGGGGGGGGGGTGGGGGGGTGGGGGGGGGGGTGGGGGGGTTGGGGGGGTGGGAGCTGGTTGGGTTGGTTTGGGTGGGGCGGGGGGGTTTTGAGGCACTCCCCCTGTAGGAGCCGCCGACAGGCGGGACCCTCCACGGCATCGGTTTGCAGCTCCTCCAAGCGATTGGGGGGGGTCCCACAGGGCGGGGGGGGGGGGGGTGGCATCAGAAAATCTGGTTTGGGGGGAAGGGTTGGGTTAGGGGGAAGGAGGCCCGATCCGGGTCTGCTTGTTCCAGACGCTTCTCGGCAGGAAGCCGAGGCGAATTTTGACAACCACCCATGCACGTATGTATGTATGTATGTATGTATGTATGTATGTATGTATGTATGTATGTATGTATGTATGTATGTATGTCTGCATATATATATATATATATACATACAATATGCGCACTGTAGTGTAGCAAGAAGCGTCTTGCAAATTGTTTTGGGGCCCCTGGGAGTGGATGACTTCTGTTGATGATAACTTGAGGTAGGATTAGCTTGCGGGGTTGCTTGGACCATGTCGATTGCTTCCGTTCCCAGCATGTAGGGCTTCTGCATGATGAAGGCGGCTCCACAATGATGTGAAACAAGGCCCTCCTAGCACTAATCAGGTTTGACCCCCGTACTGCTTCTGTATCATCGCCCTACTCACCACATGTCCGCCTGGGTTCTCGAGATGGGGGTCCCGGTTGGGCTTGGTACTGCGCGAGTCAGGTATTGCAATAAGGAGGCAGACGAGGATCCTGACAGAGAGAGCTACCATGTGTGCAAACACAGAAGCAGAAGACGGCCTGATACCTAAAATTTACTTAAAACTAACTTCCTGCAGCACCTTAGATCCCAGCGCTCTAGGCCCCTGGATCCCGGTATCCCCTGGACACGAATCCCTGAACCCCACTTGGCACAGGACTTGGCCTCACCAAGAAGCAGATGCAGGCAGAAATGGGGCGGATGGAGGTGCACCAGCCCGACACCTGAAGCCAGCAAAGAGTTTGCCTGAAGATGTCGGAAGCGCCCGACAGCTCCCGGGGGCAGGCGGTGGACAACTTTGCTGCCATCATCTTCCGCGACATCATCCCTAAGCTTGAGGACCGGGCGAGCTCGCAAGAGATCCGAAAATTTCAGAAGCCTTCAGAATGCATAAGCCTGACACCCCACAAGCCGGCAAAGCCGGCAAAGGAAGGCTTGAGGGTTGGTGGAGGTCGTTGGAGGAAGGAGCTCGGGCCAGGGTGCATGGCTGCGCTCTGCCTGAGGTTTAAGTCTTTAGGGTTTGGGATTCCCTGGTTCAGGAACTGTTGCTTGGGGGCCGTGGTCTGGGGTTGGGGATTGGGGATTTAGGATTGAGAGCTGTTCCATAGTTCCCAGACCTGCACTTGGCTCAGGAGAACCCGCTGGCAGACACGATCGGATACCTCAGCGCAACCTTTTTTTTGCTGCTCGTTGCTTGTCTGCACTGCCTGCATGTAGCACAGCCATTCTCTCTGGCTGGGGTGATCTTAGCCTTCAAACCCGGGAGGATCCCCACAGTGCCCCGGACACGTGTTCTGGTTTCTTCAGGTTCTCATTGCATTTGGCTTCTGCCTGGTGCCACCGGTTGTGCCGGACGAATGAGGACAAGGCTCCTCGATGTTCCTCCGTGTTCGGAAGCAGCAAGACTTCTGAGATCAAGCTGCAGGCAAAGTGCATCAACCAATTTCAATCTCGTTAATGGCAGTGTGGATGGAAAGGCGCATCGCTCCCCATAAATGTCCGGATACAGCGTGTAGCAGCATCATGAGCAGCATAAGCAGTGTCCAAGTCCACCTTGCAAAGTGAAGGTAGTTTGCAGACAGGGCTGCACCGTTTCCAGGGTTGTCTGCACCTAGCAGATATGCTCTGCTGAAGAGATCTTTTATATATCTGCGCTCGCTCCAGCGGATGAGCAAAGCCGTGGCGACATCAAGCACGTTTTGATGCCATTTCCATCTCAATCCTACCGCCACACCTCAACTGCTTTGTGTTAGCGTTTGCCCATGGAAGCTGTTCATCAAAGCCGTGAACCCCCGCACCCGAATGTTGAAACTCATTTGAAGTAGGGCATATATTTCTATTTTTAGTGAGTGTATATCAGGTTCCCTTTTAAGATTGGTGAGTGTATATACCGGGTGGCCTTTTGGGGGTACAAGAAATATAAACCCTACTTCACATCCGACCTCAAGACGCCTCTGACGCTGGTGGTTGCTTAGCACCCAGCATCTTGCAAGCTCCGGGTTCAACAAGAAGAAGGGCTTAGATTTTGTGGGATTTTTTTTCGGTTTTGGTAGGGTCACAGGAATACGAATTAGGGTTTAGGGTTTAGGGTTTTGGGTTTAGGGTTTTGGGTTTAGGCTTTTTGAACATCAAGCTAAATTCTGGGCCCTTGCCGGTAGCAGCCGACGACCGCTCAGCTTCGCAGTCCCGGCTCCAACGTGCGCGCGCGCCAGGTCCATGATGCTTGTTTCAGAGCTCTCTGCACGTCTCGGAGCCTCTATTCGCACCCTAAACCCTAAACCCTAAACCCTAAACCCTAAACCTATCCTAAACCCTAAACCTATCCTAAACCCTAAACCCTAAACCCTCAACCCTAAACCCTAAACCCTAAACCTTAAACCCTAAACCCTAAACCCTAAACCCTAAACCCTAAACCCCAAACCCCAAACCCTAAACCCTAAACCCTAAACCCTAAACCTTCAGCCCGAAACCCGAAATCCACAAGCATGCTTGACCTTCAGCACCAGGTCCAAGACAGGGTGGAGGCTTAAAGGATTGCATGGGGCTAAGGGCACAGCGCATGCCGGGTGAGACAAGTCTACACGAGTCCCCACACCAGCCATGCGTGCTGATCCTTCCCGACTTTCGCCGATTGGCTTGGCCACCAAGACCATTCAGGCGCCCTGCCGGGCCTAGGGTTTTATATTTCATTTGTTTTCTGATGCTTCTTCGGTCATGATGATACCTGGCCACGGGGCTTCGGCAGCACCCTTACTGTTGCACGTTATACGTCCTCATAGGGACAAAATCCCGAATTCAGCTGCGCATAAACCCCCACGCCCGTCCCTTTTCCAGGGCGCGGGCCGTCGGGGCCAGTGGCGAGAGGCCGACGGGACCCCGCCAGAGGGTGCAGGGCTTAGGGTCGTTCGGGGTTTCGGGCATTCCCACTAGCGTTTGAGTTCGATGTTTGGCTTCAACTGTTGATGTGTACTTCTGCAGTATTGATGTGTGACAGCTCGGGGCCGGGTCATCTTTGGCATAAACCCTCATGCCCTGTTGGCCACTAGGTCCTTAGCATGGGGGTAGGCAGACGCGAGCATCTCTTATGAGAGTGCTCCGGGATCCAGTTCACGGACGTGGTGCTGCCTTTGTGGAGCTGGAGTTGACCTACAGCTTGTCCCATGTGTAGTCGAAATGCAAGCATTGATCATTAGGACCTCCAAAAGAAGTTGTCAGGCGGTGACCACCTACCATGGGTTGCAGGCAAGCCGCCTGGAAGCAGATGCGGTTTCTTGCGGTGCAGTGCTGCAGGCATGCCAGGCAAGTGCCTGGAAACTGGCGTGTTCCTTCCTCTGGCAGATTCAGGAAGCTTCAGTGGAGCTTTCGCTTGTTTGTTGCAACATTGCCATGAGCCTGTCGGGACAGAGGGAAAGCTGGTACCGTACTATCAGCATGCTGATTTGGATGTGCAGCATTGCAATGCGACCCGATGCTCAAAGCTATACGCCAGCACTTGGATCCTCCAGGACGTGGGGGCTGTCGCTGTGGCTTCTACGCCAGACTCGTCCTAACAGAATTCTCAGCAATGTGGCGGTGGCTTCGATGGCCAGAGCCTGGCAGTGGAGTTTCGATTTGTTTTATGATCTGCAGGCTGCTCGACCACTTCCAGACACCATCTTTCTGAACACCTTCCTAAGCAGTTTGGAGAGGTCGGAGCAGTGGCAGCTGGCAGTGTCAGTGCTACAAGCTTCGCTGAAAGGCAGCCCCGTGACACCTAACCTTGTCAGTTTCAATGCGTGCCTGCACGCATGCGGCGAGGCGGCGCAACTTGACCAGGCGCTCCAACTTGTAAGGTGCATGGAGGCAAGCCGTGGGCCATCACCCGATGTGATATCCTACAGCGCTGTCCTCAACGCGTGCGCAAAGCTTGTGCAGTGGACATTGGCCTTGGACGAGCTAGGCCGAATGCAGCGTCGGAGCGTGCTGCCTGACGTTGTTGCGCTCAATGCGGCAATGTCAGCTTGTGCAGAGGCAGTTCAATGGGAGATGTGCTTGCACATGTTGACGACGTCAAGCGGAGTAGACCCAGACTCAGTTTCTTACAATGCCGTCCTGAAGGCATGTGAGAAGTCCGCGCAGTGGGCGCTTGCGATGTCTATGTATTGGCAGATGGCTCGCTCACGCGTAGGTTGTACCACTGCTACATACAACACACTGCTGAGTTGTTGTCAGAGGAGCACCAAGTGGGAACATGCTACGCTACTACTTTCGACGATGCTCTCTCAGCACGTTCTTCCGGACATTATCTCTTTCAATGCTTGCTTGGGGGCGTTGCGGCGTGGATCTCAGTGGCAGCAGGCAATATCTGTCTTTCACTGGATGCCGCACGTCGACGTGAGGACCCTGTGTGCTCGCGTTGGGGATGCCGGGGCTTAGTCTCAAGAATCACACTCCAAGCTTGGCCCTAGATATCCTAAAACCTGAAAACTGCAAATCCGAACGCTTTGGCCCAGATCATTCCAGGCCGAGACGCAGCCCCAAGCAGTACACCTGGGCTCTACAACCAAGATGTCCTGAAAAGCCAAGGCGCTTTAGAAGCTCGAATGCAGCTTCTCAAACCGACCCCACGGATCATCTTCTCAACCCCGGGGCCCGAGACCGGAGAGCCGACGGATCACCCAAAAGCCCAGAGAAGGAGCGACACCGTCACCGTAGTCGAGCTCTTCGGGGCCTTGGCCGCCGCGGCGCGGGCACCGCAGGCGAGGAGAGTGGCGGCGAGCCTCGTGGCGTGCGCACCTTTGGCTTTTTTGGGGCTTTGATGTTGAAGGTTGTACAACAAGTTATAAGTTATACGTCATAAGTGGTTATAGGTTTCTAGGTTGATGCGATATAAGTGTAAAAAGTACAGTTAAAAGAAGGGTTGGGTTGGGGTTTAGGGCCGCTGAGGCTTTTGGTTGGGGGCTTCTTGAAGGTTCATGGGTGGCTGTACTTTAATACCAGCAGGATAAGGAGGGCAATGACTGGCCTCGAGCGGGCCCAATAAAAGCAGACCTAATTGCGTAGGCCCTCAACCTAAAACCCCCACCAGGGTCTTTGGGCTTTCAGGGTCCAACTTTTTTCCAGCCGAGGTAAGAGACTGCATGCAGCCTGCACTGGAGTTGGAGGCCCGCTGGTGCCTAGAGAAGACGATGGGCGAGGGCTTCTGGCTTTACTAGAAGGTTTATGGGTGTGAGTAGGATTGTAGGCGGGGTAGGCATACTTTGCAACCCAATCTTAGGCCTTGGGTTTTGGGTTGGAGGGCCAGAGTGTGTGCATGGCCTTAAGTCTCACAACTCAAACCCTTAAAGCATCTTAAAGCGTTGAGGTCTCAAACCCTTAAGCTGCTAAGCCCTAAGACCTTCAACCCTCAAAGCCCCCCCTTAAACCCTCGCGCTCCCGGAGCCCTTTATTACCAATTGCTTAAGAACCCTTAAACAAACGAAAAATATTCTTCTTTATAAGGGTAATATAGGTATTTTGATTTTTTGTTTTTGGGGGATTCGTAAGCAAATAGTAGTTTGGGCCTGCTGAGTGAGGCCCGCCGACCCACTGGTCTCGCCGTGACTGCTTGCGATTGCCTTGTGTCGCACCAGCTCCGTGAGCCTTTTGCAGCTCGGCTTCCGATATCCGTGCTTTGTTTAAGGTTTGTGTGGCCTTTTGTAGGTCATCAGGTTCCGCAATGTGGGGCGCCCTCCCATTCCTAGGAATGCCAACAGCTTCTGCGACGCCACGGCCTGCGCCCTGTTCTGCGCACCCTGCGGCGCGCAAGATGGAGCGAACCCAGCGGCCGAGCCCTTCAGCTACGCGACCCAGTCTTGGAGCGCCAACATAGCCTGGGTGCATCCCTGACGAAGGATGCACTGCTGGACCTGGAGGGTCGGGAGCCAGAGCTCATGCCGCCTCCGTGGATGCTTCGAGCGAGCCAGGCAGACGCTTCCCCACTCTTGCTCTGGCTGTGCCTGCTATTTCTCTTGCTACGATGTTCTATGTATGACCAGCAAAAAAGCACTGGTATGTCATTGTTTTGAACGTTAGCATACGTTAGCTTGGAATGTTCCCCCTTATACTAACAGTCCTTAATAAAGATGTACCCCCTGTTATAGTCCCTATTAAGGACGGTTAGAACAAGGGGGAACATCCCAACCCTCAACCCTAAACCCTAAACCCTAAGCCCTAAACCCTCAACCCTAAACCCCAAACCCTAAACCCTAAACCCTAAACAGGGGGAACATCCCAAATGATAGCTCCCGTTGCGCTTGCTGTCTTTCGCCTTGCAGCGGCAACTCCCCACCTTTCGTAAAACCCGGATCCTCAAAAGGCCTTCGTTTCAGGGTGTAGGGTTTAGGGTTTAGGGTTTAGGGTTTAGGGTTCAGGGTTTAGGGAGTCTTCGAGCCGAAGACCACAGCCCTCAAACCCGCGAAATGCCCCCAAACCCCGAAGCCCCCCAAGCCCCCAAAGCCCCAAACCCCCAGAAACCCAGAAGTGTGTAAAACCCCCAACCTTCACTGAACTCTAAACCCTAAACCCTAGCGCCTAAAACCCTAAACCTCTAAAACCTTAAAACCCTAAAACCTTAAAACCCTAAAACCCTAAACCCAAAAACTCTACAATCCAGCCGCATGGCGGAGGCCGCGCTGTCACTGTTGGCCAGCAGCGTTCCGTCAGCTTTGGCGGCCAGTGAGCCGTCTTCACAGACGACCCTCAGCCCTAAACGGGTCTAGGGTTTAGGGTTTAGGGTGAGGGTTTAGGGCTTAAGGAAAAAACACCAAACTACCCGGAAAGTTGCAGCTGCCAACATTGTCGACGCCTTGTGAAGAACAATGCTTGCATAGCCCCCACTTCATCCTAGGTTTATGGGCGCTAAACCCCAAACCCTAAAACCCGAAACCCTAAACCCTAAACAGGGTACTTATAACCCTACTTATAACTACCCAAATGAACCTCCAAGTAGCCCAAAACCCCTAAACCCGAAACCCTAAACAGGGTATTTAGAACCCTGACTACCCGCAAGAACCTCCAAGTGGAGGATTGTGGGGTGGCTGGCTCACACGCTGCCCCCGCTGGTGCCGGGCCGAGGCCGTCTGTGTGGGGTCAAGCAGCCAGGCTCACTGAGGGTTTTGGGGTTTTAAGGTTTAGGGTTTATGGTTTAGGGTTGAGGCTTGTGGGTTGAAGGTTTTTGTTAAAAGAACGTAAATGCAGTTACCATGAGAAGGGTGTTGATTCTTTGTATCATAGAAAACGCTGGTAGTATGACAACTTCTATCAAGTTCCCTAAGAAGAGCTCAGCAAGGGTCGTTGCGGCGCCCGCAACTTGGGTTATTGTGATTCAAGGGGGTTCAGGGGCTCTATGAGCTCATTTGGCGAGTGGCTTGGGCTCAGGGTACTCTAACCGGGATTCGGCCCGAAAACCCGCCCCCCCTCTACTTACCCCTGGTTCCCTCCCTCTTTCACCCTAAACCCTAAACCCCAAACCCTAAACCCCCAAACCCTCAACCCGAAACCCCAAACCCTATACACCCATTTTTTTTCGAGCGCGTTGGGCGTTTGTGTACCTCATTGATCCCATCTTCGCCTTGCCCCTCAAGTTTCGGAAGTTGCTGGTGTTGACGTTATCCTGCGCTTTTTCAGCTTTTCGTGGGGTTGTGTGCTTTTTCCATCAAACTCAAGCCCGAAACAAAAAGAATCAGCCGGAGAACCTGAGCTGCCCGAAATCCAAGGGCTTCTCATCAATCGTGAGTCAAGGGTTCAGGAGCCTTGAACTCCCATCCCTAAACCCTATACCTCAATCCTAAACCCTAAACCCTAAATCCTAAACCCTAAACCCTAAACCCTAAAACATGTAGCGCTGAGCGCCTAGGACTTGAGCCTCAGGGTTTTGGGGGGTGAGGCCCAGGGCCCTCCCAACACCCAGGCACGAGGACCCGCCAAAAGTGGGCGCATACCTTCGGCCGGTTCAGGTGGAGCATGACAGGCCTGGCACTTGTGAGGGTCCACCCCAATTCCTGGACCCGAAACGCTGTCTTTTTTACTCTTTGTCTTGGGGTCGGCGATCTCTCGAGGGATTCAGGCGCTCCGTGGCTCAGACAGTTCAGACAGTTCAGAGCCCTGGTCGGGTGAAAAGTGCCTTCGTTACGGCCAACCCCAAAATAGGTCAAGAGGGCGTTGGGGAGGCCTCGAGTTCGAAAACCCTCAAACCCAACCTGCCCACAAACGCAGACTCCCTCCACCAGAAACTGAAACCCTCAACCCTACTGAGCCCACCCTCAACCCTAAAGCCCGAACCGAAGCCCTTGACCCTCCAAGCCCGCTAAGCCTTGTACAGCCGAACCCTGGTGAAACATGATAGCCTCAACCAGGGAAGCCACCAATAAGAAGCTCGATAAACCCTGCAACCCCCCCCCCCCCCCCCCACAAGGCGCCCCCAACTCTGAAGCTCAAGCTTACACCGAAACCGTAGACCGACACCAAAACCCGGCCACTCCACGCAGAGGGGCGGGGAGGGTGGGAGGTGGGGGGAAGGTGGGGGGGAAGCACCCAGGGTTGGGAGGTGGGGTTACCCCCGACCAGGGAGTGGCTCTGATAGTCTAGGGTTTGGGGTTCAGGTTTTTGGTGCTTGAAGGTTCATGAGCAGTTCGAAGTGGGGGTTATAAGTAGGGCAACTATAGCTATAAATGGTGAAAACTGGTTATTTATTATTTTTTTTATATTTAGGATACTTAGAAATCTACATGTATAAACTACCCATGAACCTTCAAGAGTAGGGTATTGACGCGCTTTGTAAGAGCTCTGCGCCCGAACTCTGTAGGACTCCGCTCTCAGGTCGTCCCACGCCGAGCGCCAGGCTTTGCTGTCCCTTGAGCTTCGAATGGGGTCCTCTTGGTGGGGTTTAGGGTTTATGGTTTTAGGGTTCATGGTTTTAGGGTTTATGGTTTTTGGGTTTAGGACTCGGGGTTTCGGGCAAAGTTTGGGGTTTGGTTGCAAGAAGCCAAAAACCCTTAAGCCCCTTGACAATCTAAAACCCAAGCCCGCTCAAGCCCTTACCCCCCGCCCCCTAATATACCCTTGAAAACTCCTTGGAACCCCTCAACAAAACCTTAGGTTTGGGATGTTTTCTCTTATACTAGCAGTCCTTAAGAGGGATGATACTAGGGGGTACTACAATCCCTTTGAAAGAGCTGTTTTCGGGGGAGCATCCTCAATATCTGGGGTTTCCGGAATTAGGGGTACCTTCCTGGGGTCCTTTTTAACAGGGATCCGACTCTTTGGGGTCCTTTCTAAGAGGGGATCCCACCAAAAGGGGGCCTCTACAGGCGGAACGTCCCAAACTCAGGTCCTTGCTGGCTCGGGAGGCGGAGGCAACTTTCAGGCATGGCCCCTAATACCCCCACCACCTGCTTTTCCGTTTTGATTTCGGGTTCAGGGTTCGGGGTCCAGGGTTCCGGGTTCAGGGGGTTCAGGGGTTCAAGGGTTCAGGGGTTCACGGGTTTAGAGGTTCAGGGTTGAGAGATGCACCTTCTGCTCAGAGTTTCGAGCTGCTCTGGGGCGGTTTCTGATTCGGGATTTGAGGGTTGATGCTGCGAAGATGGACAGGAAGGTACTGAGGTAAGGACTTGGCGCATTCAGCACCAAACGCCCCAAGCCTGATCAAACTCTTGATTTTTAAGCCCTACTTGGAGGTTCATGGGTAGTTGTGAGTGGGGCTAGAAGTAGGGAAACTATACTTTCAACTGGCTAACCTTATTCAGGGTACTTATAACCCTACTTGTAATTGCCCCAATGAGCCTTCAAGTAAACGTCCTGGCCAGGGATGGCAGCCAAGACTTCGGCGACTTCCGTGGGGCAGTGAGACTCTATGTTACCCACACTCTCTGCATCTCGTGCCTGGCGGCGTGCTATCAATACAAGGCCCTTCATCCGCACCTGCGCCTCAGCGTTGGATTTAGGGTTCTGTGATGTGGGCGAGGAATGCCCAGCCTCGCCTGATGAAGAGCCCGAGACGGTGATGTGCCTCCCGTTCTTTCTGCCGCTCATGGATCCTGGAATGCAGTGGCCAAACTAGCGAGATTCGATAAGCAGGCAGGTGCGCTGGCAGACGTGATATCCAGTTTGTGCAACTCGGAGTGCAGAGGCACCGTCGTCCGAGGGAAATGCGCCAGCTGACAGTCCGTGTAGATGACCCGCGCATCTCGGCCACACGTTGCCGCCTAAGAGGAGCTGGAGCAGGTCATGTTTACTCGCGTCCGGAGGGTGCTTAACGGTGCTCATTCGAAACTATTTTTACGCCCCCTGGGCAGAACATCGGAGCCCTGAGCGCCCAAAGCGCCAAAAAAGGCGCAAAGTGGAAGCCCGAGCCGGTTCCGAAGGTGCAGTCGGGTGCAGTAGCTGCTTGGGGATGATCAGTTCTTTGGTTTCCCAAGTTTCGACTTTCCTTCGCGACATCACGGTGGTGGTTGTGGGATTCAGGGTTTGTGGGTCTGCGCTGGGAGTCGAAGATTCCGGTTTCGGGTTCGGGACCCCTCTTGGAACCCTCAACTTCCCGCCACAGGAGGGTGGTTTAGGGTGGCCAGCTGTCATCCCTGCGCCTTCGAGTATCCAGCCCGAATACCTAAGACTTAAGACTGCCTGAGCTGGTGACTCCGATATACCGTACTATGGGCTCCAGCCTGAGGAGCACCCAAGTGAGGCAAAAAATGAACGAAAGAAGCTTCAGGTGTCGGGCTCGGGTTTGGGGATAAGAGGCTTGAAACAGGGTTTCGTGCCTGTATTTTCGACAGGCGCCCTGAAGCCACTGTTGGCGAAGAAGGAAGGTGATGCTGAAGGCGGTCAATAGCCAACGAAAAAAGTTGCAGGGCAGATTGTCCAGAACCTATTGCGTTCCACAGGCTCAGTTTGCCGTGTTTGTCGGGCATTGCCAGATCTGAAGGACGACAGGTGCTTGAAGATGGGGCACTGCTACCGAGCAGGGCCTTGGGCCGTGGAGAATTTGGTGTCGGTGTGTTGGGGGTTTTGCTCCAGCTCCATGTCTCTTAGTCCCGGATGCAGCGTGAAGTCCCACCACTTGAAAGTGAGCAGCGTGTCAGTGCACGCAGGCCACGGAAAGTCATGCGGTCTTTCGGTGTGCTTGCGAGCGGAAATTCGGTTGTTTGTTGCAAGGATGGTGTGGGCTAGCTCTTCCCACGCTATGCAAGCGCTGCAGACATTCGAAGCTGCATTCGGGGGCATGTCTCTGGTGGCGGAGCAGACGCCGCAGTGTGGCTTGAGCAGCACGGAGAGCTGTCCGGCTTCCGCAAACCGACGGAGCAAGTGGAACGAGGAGGGATTTCACCTGAGAGCCCGAAACCCTACATCCCTGGGGACCTTTAGGAGCCTGCAAGACGCAACGAAGCTGAACCCTTGCTATTCACTAAACCCTAGCGGCCCTAACCCCTCGAACCCCTAAAGAAAGAACCAACAAAGTTAGTAGCTTTGGACTTCAACACCTTGCTCGCCTCTGGCTCAAGCCGCCCTTGCCGTGGCCTTCGCTTGGCCTCGGCGACCCAGGGGCCCTCCGTCGGGGACCCAGAGTTTACTTTCACTGGTTACTTTCAGGCTTCACGGGGAAGCTTGGGGTTTCGCGGGTGGAGGTTCAGAGGTAGCGGCCTTCTTTAAGGCTTTTGGGGCGTTCTCAAGGAAGAGGCCTCCGGCGTAGCTTGAGTCCCTCAAAGGGATCCCTTGAAAAGGTCCCTAATGTCGGAAACCCCCATATGACTCCTCGGAGGAGGCCTCCAGCCTCGTGTACAAGTCCAACTTTGCCTTTTTTTAGGTTATACAGTAGGTGATGGATAGGCCCTGAATGGCTGTTTGGGCTGCCACATGCTGCCCTGGCTTCATGGTGGACAAAATGCAAGGCTCCTGGCCAATCCCCAAACTCTTCCACATCCCTGGAAACTTCGCCCTAGAGCCTAAACACCCTTGGATGGTCTTGAGTCTTGGGCGCCCAGGCCCGGCGGCCCCCTTGCAGGGGGCGCGGCCAGCATGAAGGCCATAGCAGGGACGGAAAGATTGCGTTTTGTTTCAGATTGGGATTCAAAGTTGTTGTGTTGGGGGATGGGGGATGTTGAACTATCGGAGTTGCACGATAAGTTGAGTCCACCTTCACCCAAAACCCGAGACCCGAGCCTCCTTGAAAATCCACTCCCTGTGCCAGCTCGTCCTCAAGCTGCTGAGTCCCATGGACTCTTTCTGCTGCGGAGCGGCCCTTAGCTTCTGCCGTTGTGTGTGGTTCAGGAGCTTGGGCTTAGGGCTTAAGGCTGAGAGGGCCTGGTTAGGGGAAGGCCTATGAATAGTTATTAGCTGCACTATGGTTATCGTGCTACGCATGAACCTTCAAAGTCGGGTTAGGGGTCAGGGGACCTCCGGTTTAGGGGTGAGCGGCTGAGGGGCTTCGTGTTATTGCCATGAGGGATTCCAGAGTTCTGCAAGGGGGGGTTTAGCCAAAGTCGTTAGTTCACTGTTGATAACCTGCACATCCTCTCCGGGTTAAGGGGAAGTGTAGGTGTCAGGGCTTCGGAGCATTGGGCCTTTCTTGGGGTTGCTTTCCGTTTTTGGCCGTGGAGTTTGTGGGGTCTTTGGGGTTCGTGGGGCTTGGCGAGCGTGAGTTTTCAGGAGTTTGGCTTTGGTTTTTTTTGGGCTTTTGAGTGTTTGAGATAGGTGCTTCTTTGGGCTTTGGGTTCTTCTTCTTGTGTGAGTTACATGGGGTGCTGGCTGAGCCAGGTGTCGTGTGAATATGTGCTCAGGTGTGCTCAGGCTCCTCGCTTTTTCCACTGACAGGGTTCAGGGTTCAGATTTTTAGGGTTTGGGTTTACGGTTTAGGGGTTTAGGGTTTAGGGTTTTCGGGTTTAGGGGTTCAAGGACGTAGGGTTCAGGGTTGGAGTCAGAGGGTAAAGCTGGGGTGAAACAGTCTCCTTGCAGTGTGGTGGCAGGGTGCTCCGTGCATCGGAACACCCGAGGCCCCCAAGAACTGGGCCCCCCAACCCATCTGGGTTGGACTTGCTCCACACAGCTAAACCTTTCATCCGAAGACCCTTCAAAAGCAAAAACCCGAAAACGCTCACTCCCCCAACCCCGAAGAGCCTAAACTCCAAAGCCCTTCCCTCCCCGCTCCTTCCCCCCATATATACGAACCCAAACCCCCAAACCCGGACCCCTCAAACCCAAAGCTGCCGCGCGACTGCAGGATGTTCCTTGGACTTCGGGATCAAGGCGAGCCCCGAAGTTCCTCTCGTGCATTGGCAAGGGGTTTAGGGTTTAGGGTTTAGGGTTTGACGCGCTTCTGCGGTCCAGCCGTGGCAGGTGTAGTGTGGTGCAACAGCACCGTAAGGGTCTTGTGAGCCCACTGAACCTTGTGATCCATCTGCACGTGCGCCTTGTGCAGCTCATCCTCCTCTACCAATCGGCAGCGGGCCCGGGTGAGCGATGGAATTCTGGAGATTTGGGTCTCTTAGAAGCAGGAACCTGGGAGGAGTGTGTTGCCAGATGAGCATGGGGAATCCCGAGGCATCAAGGGCTTCTCGTAGTTTCGTAACTGCAGACCCCAGTGCTGAATCAGCCACTGGTGATCTTTTGAGGGGCTTTCTCCTCTGAAGTCAGCAACACCCGCAACAGCGAACGAAGGGCCTCAAGAGGCAACTCTGGGTTTATGGGCTTCTGGGGATGAAAGGCTTGCAGTTCACGAAGCCGCATCCTAACCCCAAAGCAACATGCGGGATCATCATTCTGCCTCGCGCCTTCCGAAGTGCGAAAGAGCAGGGCGTCAGAGGTTTCGGGTTGAGGGTCCTGAACCCTCCCTAAACCTTAAACCCTAAACTAAACCCTAAACCCTAAATCCTAAACCCTGAACCCTGAGTTCTTAGGTGAGCTGTGCCTACGAGCTTTGCAACAGCTTTGGGAGCCTCGTCCTCGATGCCAAGATGCTGCATCCTCAGTCCGCTTCACCTTGCTTGAGCCCTACGGGTAGTCATAAGTAGGACTATTAGTAGGGTCTTTAGTAGGGTCTTTAGTAGGGTTATAAGTAGGGTGATAAGTAGGGTTGTAAGTACTTCAGGTAGTTATTAACCCGCTTATTAACTACGAATGAATTTTCCCAGTAAAGCACAGAGCAACTTGCCAAGCACAGCTGGCTGCGAAATCCCCAACATCCCCTGGAATGAACGGCCGATGGCATAGCACGATGCGCTCGGTTGCTCCCAGTTATTTAGGGCTTCTTTGTTTAGGAAGCGCTGCAATTTCTGGGATCCTGAGCCACAACTCCCACAATACGCCTCAGGAAGCCCCCGCAACACGAAGCATCCTCCGATCTGGGTCACCGTGTGCAGCTCTTGAACCCAAACCACTTCCCCGAAACCTGGAAACTAGAAACCCTCAGTCTTAAACCCCCCCCCTAAACCCACAAGAACCCCTCAAAGCCCTGAAGCCCCACAAGAAAAGCATCCCCTCCCCCCCAGGTTTGCGCATTCCTCCCCGGCCTCTGAGGCCTTGTTTTTCCAGAGTTCAGTGGGTTGAAGGGGATCTCATGAGGGTTGGCTGAAGAGAAGGCTTCGAGGAAGCTGAAGAGGGCTGTCACTCTACACTCTAAACCCTAAACCCCAAACCCTAAACCTTGAACCCTAAACCCGAAACCCTTTTGAAGGGGGGGGGGGGGGGGCTTGGGGCTAGGCGGGGGTTAGGGGGCGGGCTTCAAGCGGAGGCGGTAGCTTTGGGGGTTTTGGGAGGATTGTCGGGGGAAAGCCCCCCAAAACCTGCGCGAGGGAAACCTCTAAACCTAAAGCCGCTTTCTAAATCGCGCATCTGTGGGCTTGGGGGGTTAGCTCCATTCTCATGCACTCTGGTGTAGGAGCCGAATCGTTGTAAGGTTGGGGCGGGACTTGAAGCCCAACACCCTAAAAGCCCTAAACGCATGAAGCCCTTAAGCCCCG